TTCTGGTCAGAGGTAAATGGTAGACAAAGAAAAAAGGATTAGAAATAATAAAGGAGGAGAATTTCTGATAAAGAATAATGAAAAGTCAACAAAATAAATATAGTAGAATAAGAATAAACAATACAAGATAAAGACATTTGTCAACTCTTCTTTCAAGAGAAAGAACATTTAGATCCAACTGCTCTAAACTCCTTTAGCCATCAGAAGAGAGCTTCTGATAATTTGCTTTGAAGTTTATTTTACAGCCTCAGAGATCATAGTATTATTTAATTTCTTCACAGTGTTTATAATTTTTATAAATCTTAGTTATTATATCACATATAGTAATCTCTGCAGAACCATTTACATTTTCATTAAAATAATTTCCTTTAACCTGTTATCTTCTCAACATTATTTTCTTAAAACATCTCCCTAATAAGAAAATGTGTGCTCTTCAGGGCTTCAAGATGAGGTCACCAAATGCAGTAGGAATATTAAGGATTAGGAGTAAAAGTTTCTTTTCAAGATTTTTTGGGTCACTGAAACCTTTTGATATTCTTTAGATGAACCTGGAAGCCCATTTGTATAGCTGAGTATGTACTAGCGCATGAAACATAATTTAGGATTCTTCAAACACAGCTGTAAGCTCTTTATCACTTCTTGCTTAGTTTTCCCCTCGGAAACAACTCATATATTTACTCTAAGCCCCTTGAGATTCTCTAAAATTATATTTTTTGCCTAAGAATTACTAAGAATTACTGCCTACCTTTTCATATACTGAGGTATCGAAACTGAAAAAATATGTTGGAATGTGTTAAATTCATAATTAAGTTGCCAATAAAATCAGAATGAACCAAATTAATTTTTAAATTAAAAATGTTTAGATTCTTTTCACCCATAAGTCTTTGCCCAGCATTTTGATTATTTATTTTCATTAAATACTGTATTTAATTCAATATCTGGATAAATTTTCTAAAGTTATAGATATCAAGGATTGTTCTACTCAAGGTAAATGCTATTTTGAATTTTCCTCTTTTTTTTTTGTATATTGTTGTTTTTCAGTACCTCCTTGTTTAATATTATCTGTGAATTTAATTAACAGACTGTTTACTTCCCTTTGTTAACTGATGTTACATAACACCACATCTAACACCAATTCCTACAGAATCTCTGTAATGCCTCTCTCCACATAGATATTTCATAGTTGTATTTTTTTTTTAAACTGTTCTTCAGGTTTTTTTTTTCTTTCAGTTTTTGACTCATGAAACTTTTTTTTTTTAAGATTTTATTTATTTGACACAGAGAGAGAGATCACAAGTAGGTAGAGAGGCAGGCAGAGAGAGAGGGGGAAGCAGGCTCCCCGCCAAGCAGAGAGCCTGATGTGGGGCTCCATCCCAGGACCCTGAGATCATGACCTCAGCTGAAGGCAGAGGCTTTAACCCACTGAGCCACCCAGGCACCCCCTGACTCATGAAACTTTAAGAGTTTGACTCTTGAAAGTTCAAGGAGTCAGGAAATACAAGAAGAGAAAAAGAAACATAGAAGTAAAAACTGAGAGAGAAAGTAGCAGGAGAAAAGAAACATGAGAATATAAATGAGAGAAGGCCAGAAGGTCAAGGTGTGTAGAAAAAGAAAAAAAGGCAACAGACAAAAAATGAGGTATAAACATATAACCCTTAAAAAAAAAAGTCACTGAAGAGAGAAGACGGACTTGAGATTCAGGAAGCACACAAGGAAGAGTAAAGATCAAAGTCTAGATCTGTCCAATAAAAGGAGTATATAAGATATTTGGAAGTACCTCATGAAAGATTGTGGTAATCTCTTTGATAAAAAGGACAGCACAACTCTAAGATGGAATATATGGTAAAGATATTGGTATTAGGTTGATACATGGACAGACATAGTAGGTTTTTTCCTACTAGTTGAGCAACTGATGTCCAAAGATGTGAGCTGATCTAATCCAGAATTTGTTAAAAGAATGAAGACCTGCTCAAAGCTGTTGGTATGGATGCCTAACACTGGGCTAGGCAGTAGGATAGACCACACATTGTATTTGCAGTGTAGGTTTGTAGATACATATGCCTAAAAGGAATTAGAAAACAATATAACTCGGTACATAATTGGTGTTGGACTGCATTAAATATTGGCCTTTATTTGTAAAGAATTTTCAAGAGGGGAAAGAAGGCAATTCTGCAAATTAGGCAGTATACAGATGATGCGTGAGCCCTCAGAGATCAGTGATAAGAGCTGGTGATAAGCTGCCAGGCCAGGATCCTACCAAGGCTGATGGTGGTAATTGCGGTGGGGGTGTTGGAGGACTGGGATGCTAATGCAAAATTTTTTGGGAGTGGGGGGAATAGGTACTTTGAAGTTCTCTTCTTACTTTGAGGGTCTAAGTTTAAAAGAAAAACTGTTCCAGGCAGGCAACTGTTGAGTAGGAGTGCATTATTCTCTTAAATATTATGAAATTACTTCATTATGTATTTTCTCATTTTCTAACCTCTTCTCTACAATAGTACAGGGCTTAGCAACACAATACTTCTCTTATCCACCTGCCTAATGAATGGCATTGAGTTGGCCTTCTCATTTCTTCTTTCTTTCAGAACCATTTTAGGTACTGCATACCTCCTTCTTGATTAGCATACTATAGTATAGTGGTTCTTAAATGTGTAAACTTAGAGGGACTATTAAAAAAGATTCCGGTGATGTGGTATATATACACAATGGAATACTATTCAGCCATCAAAAGAAATGAAACCTTGCCATTTGCGACGACGTGGATGGAACTAGAGGGTATCATGCTTAGCGAAATAAGTCAATCGGAGAAAGACAACTATCATATGATCTCCCTGATATGAGGGAGAGGAGATGCAACATGGGGGGTTAAGGTGGTAGGAGAAGAGTAAATGAAACAAGATGGGATTGGGAGGGAGACAAACCATAAGTGACTCTTAATCTCACAAAACAAACTGAGGGTTAATGGGGGGAGGGGGGTTGGGAGAGGGGGGTGGGATTATGGACATTGGGGAGGGTATGTGCTATGGTGAGTGCTGTGAAGTGTGTAAACCTGGCGATTCACAGACCTGTACCCCGGGGATAAAAATATATTATATGTTTATAAAAAATAAAATTAAAAAAAATTTAATGCAAAAAAAAATGTGATTGAGGCATCATACCTTTTTTGGTTTTCTAACATCATGGTGAATAAATAGCTTCAATGTAAAAAAAAAAGATTCCAGTGATTCTGATTCAGAGGGTCTGGGATGGGGCCAAGAATTTGCACTCTTACAAGTTTGTAGGATAACACTGGTCTAAGACCACTCATGTGACTAATCCATCTTCGCTCTCTCAAGTGGTACAAGTAAGAGTAAGTACAATGAAGGAGTCCTCAGGATTAATCAAGTTTGTCACTGATTTGGCAAATAGGTTTGTGCAAGCTTCTAAAGAAAAGGAAAATATCTTGTGTGCACCTCGCCACCTCTTTTAGTGGCCTTTTCCTTTTTTTCCCCGGGGCCTCTATTAGAGCTCCTACTCATCCCCTATGTGCTTCACTGTTGGTTTGATCATCCTTAGCAGAAAAAACGTTGATCTCAAAGACCAGTATTTAAAGGTATTCAATGTGGGATTCCTCCTGGGAGAATTTAAAAGAACAATGTATAAATGCAAAGGGAAAATTACCCATACTATAATTTCAAACAATGGGAATGATTCCTCCACCTATATGAATGGACACAATAGTTTATATATATTCTAGCATAAAAGACAAAACAAAACCCATCTCTCTGGCTATATTTAGTGTGAGATTTCAGTTTATTGGTCATTTTTGAAACTATGCACAATTTTATGTGGCACTTTGGAACCTTGACATTTGCCTTGTTCAAGGTTCTCTACGCTTTACATACGCATCCCAGAGTATGACCCGCCTTCTGCACACAAATGAGTGTTGCAACCCTCCTCTACCCACGTTAGTAGTACCCAACAGACTTGCGATGACACTGGTTTAAATGTGTGTGTCAGGGGGTAGAGAGACAGGACAGAGAGGAGATATGATGATGTGAATGAAGAAAACAATGTCTATACTCTTAGAAAACCGACTTTACAACCACTATTTCTACCAAAATTCTTAGCCCTCCCCTTAATGCTCTCCTATCTATTTCGTTTACTTGAGTTTCAGAACGTTGTTTAAATTTTTTTTTTTTTTTTTTTTTACTACGGAATAGTCATATAGTGATCGCTAGTACGCCATGAAAATAAAATAATAGTACTGCCTTTAAATTCGAAGCAATCTTCCTACCCCTGGGCCTTGGCCATCTGGGTTCTGCGCCACTGACTGAAGGTGTTTTTTCTACCAGTCAGGAAGCAGGAACTGGCTTCGCGGCATCTTCCTTTCCCTTTTTCTCCGTTTCTTCCTCTCCACCCCTCCGGGTCCCTCCCGTCTCTCCTGTTTGACAGTGCCCAGCGGCCGCGTGCTCGGGTACCCACTCCTCCCAAAGCCGGTCAAACAAAACCCACGGAGGCAGACGCGCGCCACCGACCAGAGAAGCGGCGACGCCACCACCAGCTCTAACCCTACCGTAACAGAGAGCGCGGCCGCGCATAGCGCGCCCCCGCGGCTTCCTTCCCTCCCGACTCTTCCTTTTCCTCCCTTCAGGCCCAGCGTCCTCACCCCCGCGCTAGGAATGCGCCTGCGCAGAAGCTGCCCTCGCCCTCCTCCCCCGCCCTTCCTTTCCTCGGCTCCTCCTCTGGTGCCCCGCCTTCCTTTCTCTCTAGTCGGTTTTCATGAGCGCTCCAGGTTGGAGCAGTTCAGTCGATTTCCCCACTACCCCGCCCCCCTTCCTCTTTTCTCCCCACCCCTCCCATCTCCAGTCGGGTGGAGAATGAAGCGGCTGCAGTGGCCCCAGCCCCAGCAGCGGCACCGGCGGTGGCTGCGGTGGGGGTGGCCGGAACTAGGGTGGTGAAGAAGCGGTGGCGGCGGCGGCGGCGGTGGCTGAAGGAGCGGCAGCCGCCCCAGCCGCTTCCTCTGTGCTTCCCTTCCTCTTTAGTGCAGCCAGGAAGTTTTTTACTTCTGTGCATGTGTGTGTGTGTGCGCTTGAGTGTGGGTGTGTAAGCTGAAGGTTTGGGGCGGTGTTTGTGCAGGCGTTGCAGGCGTTTTTTGCCCACTTCGCTTCCCGTAACCCGGGCAGCTCCGGAGCCTGGGCTGTGGCCCGAGGAGGGGGCGCGGCGGCGGGCTCTCTCCTTTTGTTGTTGTTTCCTCCGCCTGGGGAGCTGAAGGGGGGACGCGCCTGGGTGGGGCGGCTCGGAGCCCGGGCCTGGTGGCCCCCGGGGCTCCCGGGCGAGTAGGGTAGAGTAGAGTAGAGCGGGCTTCAACATGATGGCGGCCGAGGCCGGCAGTGAGGAGGGCGGCCCGGTGACCGCCGGGGCAGCTGGAGGCGGCGCAGCCGCGGGCTCGAGTGCCTATCAGGCAGTCTGTAGGGTGAAGATACCCCCGGCCCTGCCAGTGGCAGCCGTCCCCTATTCTGGGCTGACGGAGGCCGGAACGGCCGGGACTCTGGCTGGCGGAGCCGCTTTGGGGTCAGCGTTTCTAGGAGCCGGGTCTGTGTCGGGAGCAATGGGGGGAGCCGGACTGTCAGGGGGAGGTGCTGCTGCTGGCGTGGCTGGTGCTGCCGCTGCCGCCGGACCTGGAGGAGAGATGGTTCTCGCCAAGGGGACCCCTTCGTTGCCTGCTGAGACCTTCGGGGCAGGCGGCGGATTCCCTCCTCTGCCGCCGCCGCCTCCTCAGTTGCCCCCTTTGGGCGCGGGCCTGGGAACAGTTGACGAAGGTGACTCTCTGGATGGACCAGAATACGAGGAAGAAGAGGTGGCCATCCCGCTGACTGCTCCTCCAACTAACCAGTAAGTCAAGACAGCTGTTCAGGAATTGGGGCAGCTGGCTCCTAGAAAGAAGTGGGAAAACTTGCCTCGTTCTTTCAGTTGAGATTTGTTCTGAAAAGTTTTGAAGCTTCGGGTTCCGCGCGTGGGGATTTAATTTGATCACTCATCCTCCCTACGGGCATGCTCCCTAGCGTCTTAGTATATTTATTGTTACTCTGGGAAGATGTAAAGTTTTTGAGATTGGGAGTGAAAAACGTGTATCCATTGAGAACCGGATATAGTTCTGCCTCTTCCAAATTAAGGTTGCGTCCTGGGATTCAGCTGAGCTTGCAGCTACCAAGGCAGTCACAGTCTCTTTTAACCTGTGTGTGCATTCCCTATTGAAGCCAGGTTATTAGTAAGAAGCTTTGGAATATATAAGTGTTTGAATGAATATTGTATAGATACCATTTGAAACATGCACTCGTCAGAATGCTTTGTTTTTGTGGCACTGCAAATCCCAACCCATGGCTTTGCAAGCATAGCGATGCTGAAGTCTTCGGATCACTTATGAAGATGTGGGTCAGCAAGAAAGGAAAGGAATTCTGTGAATTACAGGTGTGAGTAAGGGCCATAGAATTCCCGTTTATTAATATCAGTGTAGTCGTTTATGGTTGAGGCTTTGTAAGTACAACACTGAAGTAAAATAAAATTAACACTAAAACACTCTATTGGTGGCCAGTACAGTGTTCTTTGTGACAATTAGTTTTGACAGCATATTGCAGAATATATAGGGCAAATCGTTTTTTCATACATACCTTCCCCATATTTGTTCCCTTCATAAGTGAACATAGGTAATATATTTATAAAGGTGGACCTTGATGAGAGGAAAATTTTGATGGGATGTGGTAATAGATGGCAAAACCGTTTTTATAGATCCCTCACATCAGTATTATTTGACCTTTAGAAATTTGATAACCTTGGTGTGGTGTGTCAGAGGAAAAAAATATTTGGTTCCTATGTTGACAGTCACTCGGAACAATTGGAAGTTTTTGTTTGTTTGTTTTCGATAAGCTATGGAAGATTTAGAGAGGACTTACAAAATGAATTAGAAAAAGATTCTGTAATGATCCATTTTTGACTTAAGGCTACATCTTTTGATACTTAAGGTGGAAAAATAAAATTAACCTTATTTATGTCAGCCATGGTATAACAGTATTGCATTCCTTTTATATTGTTAATTAGGAGTTTAATTTTTTTGTCTAATTTTATTCCAACTTACCACATTATGTCTTAGTGTTACAGACTTCTGAAGATGTTCTGGGAGTGTTAAAAATTTGCATTTTACAGCACTGTTTACATACCTTCAAGCCTTTTTGAAAGAATCAGTCAGTTAAATGTTTAAGTGCTCACTACATGCTCAGCACTGCAGTTATAATAAAGCGCAACTTTTCATACCCAAAGAAGATGGTCTTATGTCAAGTGTTTGTGACTGAATTGTATTAGACATATTTGGCATATTGTGGTTCTAAATTTTTTTTAAGAAAAGTTTATTTCGTAGAATAGTTTTACGTTCACAGCAAAACTGGGCAGAAAATATAGAGTGTTCCCATTAAATTTTCAATAATAAACATGAATGAGTACTCAGGAGAAATTGTGTTTGTGGGAAGTCCATCGTGTGAGATTTCCATCATTATTAATATGTATTTGGGAATAAAAATAATACTTGTATGACTGTATTTGAGAATTGTTCATGTTCTGAAAAGTACCTTCCGTTTCTAGTATGTTTTTAAAATTTGTCACGAGAAGTACAAATTTCCCTCTTTTGTTTATCTTAGATATCAACCCAGAGTCATTGGAGGCAATACAGTGTAGTGTTGAAGGGCACATTCTGAAGTTAGACAAGATTTGGGCTGTAATCCTGACTCTGCCACTTAGAGCTGTGTGATCTTGGAAAGGTCAGTTTCCCCATCTGTAAAATGGGGATAATAATGGTACCTCCGTCATAGGGTTGTTTTTGAAGGTTGAATGAGAACCCGGAAGTACTGGCACATAGTAAGTGTTTAGTGTATGGTGTCCCAATGTAACAGTAATATAATTTTATTTTCAATAAATTTCCTACTGATTCTTTTGGTATAGGGACTTCCTCACTTGTAGTTATTTTAAAGAAATGTTGGAACTCCAGAGGACTATCAGAAGTGATTAATTATATTAAAAATTATGACTTCATAAAGGCTGGAATTCTAGCCCGTTAAGTAGTGTAGAGATTAAGTTCAGATCTTTTCTGTAAATTCCTATTTTTAAAGGGCTTTAATGACTTGGTTAAATAATGTCAAATCTTTTGGGGCACCTGGGTGGCTCAGTGGGTTAAGCCTCTGCCTTCAGCTCAGGTCATAATCTCAGGGTCCTGAGATGGAGCCCCACATCCCGCTCTCTGCTCAGCGGGGAGCCTGCTTCTCCCCCCCCCCCTTTTCCTGCCTCTGTGTGTACTTGTGTTCTCCCTCTCTGTCAAATAAACAGATAAAATCTTTAAAAAAAAATGTCAAATCTTTTGTAAAAGTATGAAGAAATGTTCTTGGACTAACAATATTTACTAGTGAGTGCTTACCTTAGTTATTGGATAGCATATTAAGGAGGTTCAGGTCATAGGTTTGAGTCCACAGTGGTTTGTTACAGTAGAGTTCCCTTGTCATGGAGTTCAACCTTGTATTCAGCGAGTTTGGTGCAGTTGGTCACAAGAGAGTCAAATGACAATATATAGATAGACGAGAGCAAATACTTTAATGCCATTAGTGTTTTGTACCTTGTTTTTCTGTGTGCATGGGGAGTCATTGTCTCATGTTTATTACTGACAGTTTTCATTAGTTTGGTTAAGGCCAGAAAAGTTTATATAATTTTAACTGTTTATTTGAATATTTTCCTTTTCGCAAATTTTGAGGAAATAAATTTAAAAAGCAAAAAATTCTCCCCTATGTATTTTTATGCTGTAGAAGATCCCATATCTAAAACTAACAGATTTGATTTTCAAGAGAGAAAAAAGTTAAAGGAGTTTGTCACTGGTACACCTTCTAATTTTATGGACTTGCTTTTAGTGGTCCTGCTTTCTTTGCTTTAGAAGTGAGGCTAATAGTAAAGGAGCATGTTCACTTAGTCTACCTTCAATTATATGTAGAGATTCTGAACTATGAGCCTGCAGTAGCAGGATGCGCTTGGACTGGATCCACTCCACAGATACGTGTATTGCTTTTTCTTGGTGTATTTAGAACATTTAGTAATCAGTCTCCACCACTTAAAAATAGGAAGACTTCACATTTAAGAAGTCTCACTTTCTAGCATCACTTGCAAAATCACAGGATTTGGCTCTACCTGGTTGCTGTTCCTGTTTGATTGTAGCTTGCTAGAGCTGAGTAGTGGTTGCCCCATTTAGGTAAGTTCTAAGCTTTGGTTTGCTGTAGCCTCTACTAGGCTACTACTTGCTTTGCCTTTGATATTATTTGCCTGGCAGGTGGCATAGATCTTACCTTGGACACAATATGCAGGCTTCTCAAGCCTGAAACTTGAAGGAAAAGGAAATACGGAACATAAAAGATGCCTTTCTTTTCCTCAAAAAACATGTGACTATCTCTACAAAAATAAAATAATTCTAATTAAGCCAAATAATTATTAGAGGTGAATGTTAGGACATGTAGTGTTCATTAACTTTGTCACTAATTGCATTATAACTATGGGTGAGTCATTATTTCTTAGTAAAATTGGGAGGAGGTGAGAATTGCAAGGATTAGTTAAGTACAGAGTGGTTGCTGACCAGGACCCAGATTTTTTTTTTTTTTTAAACCATATCTGTATGAATAGTAGAACAGTGTAGTGGGTGCTTAATTTACGGGATACAAAAATGAGTAAGATGCCCATTTTCTCAGTTCTCTCTTCCGGGACAGTTATAGATCTAATAGGAAGTTAAGTAAACCAACTACTCTCACTCAGGCTAGATTAAGATAAATATCATGAGTGAAGTATGAACAAAAGGTCATGGGCTTTAAAGGAATAAGAAAAGTATATAATTAGGATCAGTAAGTCTTTGAGGAAAGGTAGCAAGTATGTTATCCCTGTTGCTTAATTTATTTTCTAAACAAGACCTTATTGGTTCTCACACCCTTTGCCTAATGATTCTGTCATGTGAAAAAGAATTACAAGTTAAAGGAGTATAAACTTTTGACCCCGAGTGAAGAGTCTATCCTACTGAACTCTTAATTTTATTTACCACTGGTCTGGAAGGAGGTTGAAGGAAGTTGAAGGAAGTGCCTGTAATTCCTGAGAATAAAGAGCACAGCCAAAGGGTAGAATTGGTTTGGATCATTGATTAGGCACTCGGGGGAAATCAGGCAAGCATTATAGGTAGAGATAAAAAGAAAAAGGACAGGGGTACCTGGGTTTCTTAGTGGGTTCAGTGTCCCACTCTTAATCTCGGCTCAGGTCTTGATCTCACCGTCTGTGTTGGAGCCCTGCATTGGGCTCCACGCTGTGGGGGGTAGGTTGGTGGGGGGGGGGGGGGGGGGGGGGG